GAAAGCCCCAAATCAGAACCCTAAAATAAGAAATTCCCTTCCCAATACTCTCACGAAGACACAACCTCTACCCTCAAATGAAAAAGAAGTAAAAGGAAACAACGAAACCCCAGGCAAGCGGCGGAATTCCTCTCTCACCCAAGAGAATATCAATCTCACCCAAGAGAATATCGGTCGGCAAGCACCGGAAACAACAAAATCCCAAGAAATGCTTCGTTTGGACTTAATAAATCATGTTTAGTCAATGGTTGTACAATTTACTTTATGTATGGATTTGTCTTTTATCATTTTTTTCTTTTTTTAACGAAACAATAGAAAATTATAAAACAACCAAAGAGATCCAGGATACAATAGCCATTGCCGCAAGGGCAGAGTCAGAGGCGCGCTAACAATAGCGACCTAGAAACCAAAACTAAACCATATTAGCAGATTGAAGTAATGGCAAGAACAAGCTCGAATCCGAGATTAGACTTATAATACAACAGTGCAAGATAACAAAAACTACACACAACCAAAAAGGTAACCTACAACTGGACAAGTCCCTAGCAGGTAAACAACTAAAACAAGCCTAGAACTACAAACTACAAAGACAAGGAAACCATAAGAAGGAATTTAGAAAACCAACCACATGGCACAACACTAAGCAGCAGAGCAGGACAAGAACTCTCTCCAAGATGAGGTAGTAGATTGAACAATGTTGAATTCAGGGAGCCAAAAGTTTGGAAGATCCACAAGTTTGGGGCCTTCCAAATCCACCACATCAGGTTGGTAGTAGTAAGTTGGATTCTGAGGTTAGTACAGGGAGATGCCTTAATGTTGCAGATCTTTATCCACCAACTTTCGCAGCAAGAGGTATCCTTGCACAGACCATCCCATGAGATAGTAGCTAAGTCCAAGACTCTTTTGGCTCTGGTACATTGAAAGAATAAGTGCTCAATGGATTCTGCATCTTCTCCACAAGACTGGCAAAAAGAGTATATGGTCATCCATTTCTTCAGGAGATTAAGAGAGACTGGCAAGATGGATGAGAGGCACTTCCAAATGAAGTGCTTCACTTTACCAGAAATTTTAAGACTCCAGTTTTTCCTTCTAGTGTTCAAAATTTCAGCCTTCAGAGTGCTACTCTCCGTAATGCCAAGGTTAGCCCATTTTTCTTCACTAACGTCTCATAGACAACATCCACAGAAAATTTGCCAATGGATGTGGTGTCCTATACAACTCGGTCTGAGCGGGAAGAATCCAAGTTCTTAATACTAAGGATTGCCTTACTCTCAGCAGTGGGAAAACAGTTCTGGATCAGAGTCACATTCCACATCCTTCCTGAGTCATCAATAAGCTCATGTGGGTATGCTAGTGAATAAAACTGATTGTCCGTCCATTGCATCGCACGTGTGGGTATACTAACGAATAAAACTGAAGACAACAAAATTGGATTATCATGCCATAATCGATCACATGAAAACATAACTCTACCAATGGTTTAGGTATTGTGTCGTGAAACGAAATGAGAGGCAATAGCCAATAAGAAATGATGGAAGAAAATTAATTGTGTTGCTTTTGTTCACGTTTAAATATTAATATGTTATTCATTCTTATAGATTAGAAAATTAATTTTTATTTATCTTAATTTATATTAAGTTTATATTATTGCATTTCATTCCTGCAACAAGTTATTCTATTCTTTTTATATTAAAACAATAATAATTTAATTGCCTTAACAAGTTATTCTATTCTTTTTATATTAAGACATTAGTAATTTAATTTGCCTTAATTTAGTGATATTTCATAACGCGTGTATATATCAAATTAAGGTATAATTTCATAATGAGTGTATATATCAAATTAGGGTAAAAACATTTCGCAACTTGATACTTATGATGATCATAATCCTCATAATCCTCGCGATCATATCATGACTCCCAATACATTGACCTCGACTTCATATTTATTTATTTTTCATTCGTAAAATAGGGTCGAAATGCCCAAAAGTCAGAGGATACACTACATGACTAAAAGACACTACATGACTTGGATGAGCAACACCGGTGAAGTCATGTTCCAACCAAATCTCAACCACATTTGGTGCAACTCCAAATAATTACACTGCTGCTCTTAGACATACACCATTAGCTTGACGATCAAACGTATGCAAAAAAATTATGAACCCCAAGAATTACAACGATTACACAAGA